TATCTCATTTTAAGGAATGCCATATTTTACCATCTAATTTGCTGCAGCAGTCAATCTTTTTTTTTTTCAGTATAATATTACGACTCTAATTTTTCCTCGAATTTTTCAGTTTAGGACTGTTTCAAGACATAATCGGCGCGCACGAACTGGAAAAACACTCGTTTAAAACATACTTACCTAAAACTTACTGCAGCAAAATAGAGTCATTACAGTACATAAATAATAATAGGTAAACCAAATTATTGGTTTTTTGCAGTCGATTTTGGGGCGTATTTAAGACAAAATTTTTTTGTCGATTTGATTAATTTTTTTCCTGATATTGTACAACCAAAGCATTCTTGAATACTTTTTCCATTTTCTTACGTGCGTTTTCTTGATTGCAGCGATTCGTACGTCATTTTATATGTCATGAATATTTCTTTATTCAAATGCGGTGTTCGCGCAAAAGTTTCGCAGTTATATCGCATAACGATTTTGATTCAGGCTCAACGAAGAAATGACGTATGATAGTGCAACTAAGGCAGTAATTATACGCTATAAACATTGCCATTATCCTGGCATAAGTGCTCCCACCTGGTTTCTGAACAATGTGACTGGACACGGAGACCTTTGCGGGGTTTGTCTTGCCCAACTCGCGCGCGAGCCGGCTTAGCGAAATGTCGTAACGCAGCCGCAAACGAGCGAAATTATCGTTAACGGTAAAACTAGCGACAGAAATATTCGCCGCGGTGGAGCCTGGATCTAAAATTAATTCTCATTATCCTACACGGAGCCGTGTAATCGCCGAGAAAATTCATCGCCCCATAAAGCGCGGGAACATTTATATTCCCCGCGAAGCCTTCGAAGCGATGCGCTTGCGTCATCGAGCATGGAAGAGAGAAAAAAAAGGAAAGACGTTGGTGCTAATATAAACGGTTACTTTCCACGTCTTGGATTCGGTAAGTGCATGCATGAGCGTAATTCTAACGATTCCCCGCTATTTTATCTAATTTGTGTTACCTCGCTTTCTTTATTCTGAACTTTTCTTTTGAAGATCGAGGCGATTAATACACAAAAGACGCGCGTGAATCTTCTGAGAAAATTGATTCAGACGGGAAGGTAATTTAAGTTAATTCAAGGAAAAAGAGAAAAGTCGAGGATCTGTTTTACATTTATATAATACCTTTATATAATAAGATATTTTTATTCTTTATACATATTCAATGAATATTTCTTTAATTCTTAATAAATATGTAATTGGAAAATTTGTGTTAATTTAACATAAGATAAATATATTAGGTAGTAATACAAATTGTGAAAGCATATTTCTTCAGTAAAGTTAATATTTATGATATGTTAAATTGTTACATTTCATTAATTTATATTAGAATTTACGTTTTAATATTATGTCTGTGTTAATTGTTTATTTATTCAAATTGTGTTATTATAACGCTAAGAAATGTTAAACATCAATTTACCACAAGATAGTCGAGTAATAATTTGAATATTCCATTTTTAACGTGTCACTTTTAAAGCAAGAACATTTTATTAAATTAACTCTCGGTTAAGAAATCAATACAAAAAAATTTTAATAAGGACCTGTTTAAAAAAAATACAAAATATTTTTTTTTCCTGCGGTGTACCGATTAATCTGTAATACTTTCGTCAGCTTATACTTTCTTGTGTTAGCAATGGCCGTCGCTTTACATCGATAAATATTAATTCTACTGATATTTTATTCATATGGATAGACATTAGTCCATAAAAGAAAATAGGCGCTTGTTGGTTTCACAGTAAATACGAACACGGCGCGCGGCGTAGGTGATTGGCGACAGCCTATTATGTCACAACTTCTCGTTGTGGTGGCAAGGTAGATAGAGCCGGGCTGTGAACCCAAGAACAGCCGGCGGCACGTTGCACAGGCGCACGTGACCGGTTCTCTCCTCGCAGGTTTTCCCTGACATCGCTCGCCGCCTTCTCGCCAACTTTTTAGCCGGGATAAATGCGCTCTCTAACTCTCTCTCTCTCTCTCTCTCTCTTTCTCTCGCGACAACTCCCGTGGGGAACACGCCCGATCCCGACGCTTTTACGCCATGTATTAGATTTCCCGCCGCGTCTCGGACCACCTGCAGGCAAGTAGCCGCTCGGTTCCCATGTTTATCTCTCGGATGCAAAATAGCAATCTGTTTCACCGTTATGCACGCTCATCTAGAGTAATATGATCGGAGTAACGCGGAAAGGTGATATTACTTTCAGTGCTCCGAGATTATTTATTCTCAGTTATTATATAATCATTTCGGGAGAAGAACGGAAAAAGGAGTGATATTATTTTTATACATTATTTTTAAATTAATACTTCTTTAAATTAATACTTTTTCATTCACACAAAATTTTTTAATATTAAATTAATATTTTTTTTCGTTGCGGAACTTTTTAATATAGGGTTGCCATAAAACTGGAAATCAGGGTAAAGTCAGGGAATTTTCATCCCTACGCAGTTTTGGAATCAAACTACCAACTTAACAATTAAAAAGGCAAGTAGTGTTAGTAATATAGCTTTAAAAAAGCCGCTTTTTTCAAATTGCTGGAAAAAAACCGGAAAAATTGGTTTTTTGGAAAAATTGCTGTTTTTGCTGTGTAAAAGACATAATAAGTAACTTCTGAATTCTTTTATAAAATTAATGCGATCTATGAAATTATGTAGCATTATTTTTATTAAAATTTTTTAGTTATCCTTCTATTTTTATAGTAAAACCTAATCTAACCTTCCTTCAATATTATAAATGGCAAAGCTTAAGTAGACAGATTTTTAACTCTAGTTTGTCACACTCCGGTCTAATGAACTCTTGAAGTGTCTCTTTGTAGTTTATTTTTTTTTCAAATATTTTGTTACGAATTCAGTTTAAATTCAGTCCAAATTATTTTTTAGACCTACTATTATCATATAAACATGATGTTTGGACTCTATATTTTTAATTTTTACATTAATAATGCAATAGTGTATGTTTTGTATGTTTTATTGAATACATTATGCGACCTCAATCTTTTATACAATTTCAAAATTTCTATTAACTTATTCTGCTGTGGACATACTTTATACGCAATTATTTTCTTTACGGAAAGAATCGAGAAGCAAACGTGGTAGGTTTTACGAGCACGCGTGAATTTTTCCAAAATGAATTTTTCTACCCTTAGGAAAAAAACCGAAAAAATCCGCGGAAAAATTGGGTTTTTTTTCCGATCCTTTAAAACTATAGTTAGTAACATTAACAGTAATTTACGTTGCTATGTTAAATTGCTTTCTTAACAAAATATTTAATGATTTCCAAATCAGGATGAAAATATAAAAAAATTCAACATATTATTGAAAGTCAGGGAAAATTATGAAAATTTATCTGGAAATCAAGGAGAAATTATGGTATTTTAGGGTGAGAGGAATTTGCGATAACAGTCAGTAATTCTAGACGATATACTTTGTTTGCAATAACAAGATGTTATTTTCGCATGCTGAAATAGTCGAGCGCAAGTGTCATGTCGTGCCGTCTATGCTTCATTATTTGCGCGGTAATAGCGCTTCCATGTACATAAACACAGGGTCGCCGAGAGAGAACGTGCGTGTACGAGCACCGTTACACGGCGTAGACAATCTTATCTAAATATTTGCATGTCATTGCGGGGATTTCAGTCCTCCCTCGTCTCAACCGTACGACGCGATAATCTCTTATTTCGATTTTATCTGCGTTACGTAATAGTATTCTCAGCTGCGCGCCGCTTTCTGCGAGCATACGCGTTAGTTCGACGAGAGAAGACTAATTTAATTTACCCCCCGTCCGCGACGGGATCCCGTTGTGTCTGATTAACTCGCATTGTGACCGTTTTAATCCGTTCGAATGCGGAGCCGAAATGAAGTGGACACGAAACTCCCGCGGAAAGTATCTTTTGTCGAAAGAAGAAGAAATCTCAATTTTATCGAGAAGAGGAAGAGGAAAAAGCTAAAAAATTATATTTATCTGTAAAATAATAGAGTTCATATTTTTATGTTCTGCGTAAAATTTTTTTATTGCTCTTACATTTTTATATACACTTTTTCTGAAAAGGTACACAATGAGAGTGTATCAAAATATTTCTCTTGCATCATCAGTATTTGTTTACACAAATTATGTCGAATGGTACTTATTGTGTCTGAGAAAAGGATGTTAAAATACAATTAAGAAATTATGAAAAATATCATTTTGCTAAAATGTTTCTCTTCTATCGGTATTCGCTTACATAAATTATTAATTTTTTTGACAATAATTATATAAAAACTGCATACATATATATATCTACATGATAATTTTTCCGATCAGTATATATATTTTCGTACGACGTGATTGGCGGATAGTTCCATACTTGTTAACAATCTTCATTAGTGAAATAAGGATCACTTTTTGAATAATAGGACTTCGAAGACCATGACGGTATATGTTCTTAAAACACAAAAACAAATTTATTTATAGAAAAGAAATATATATCAACATCTATATATAAGTTAATGATTATTTAGATAATCATACTTTCTTAATAATGTTAAAAATAATATTTAATAATAGTTAGTAATATTGTGTGTTTTATATATTATAATAGTTAATAACATTGTGTAGTTAATGGCTACGTTCAGCAGAGAAAGCAACTTTGTAAAATTCTTTAATACGATTAGCTTATACGTTTAGAATGAGAAACTAAGGGAAGACCAATTATGTTACAGAATTTTACAACAGTTGCAAAGCTGCTTTACCTACTGAACACAGTCAATAAGTAAATTTCGAGATAGATTGGGATACTTAAACTCACATTAGAGCTTTTAATGGTAAAACAAATAATTCAAGCTATAATATATCGTGCAGGTAATATAATTATACACAAAGAACAAAAATAAAAGAAAAGAAGATACATGTATATATCATTACAAGAAAGTAATTATGTATATCGTTACATCATTCATAAAAATTTGATAAGTTCAAGGTAATCTTTTGATGTACTTTCAGAACGCACTTCTGCTGTTTGCTTCGAATTCTTTTCATTTTGAACTGATTCATTAATTACTAAAGGCAGTTCCGACATTTTCGATTTTGTTGAAGTTTTTGCTCTTCTGGATCTGCTTTTTAACTTTTTTCTTTTTATAGTTATGTGCTTTCCGCGGTCCGTATGATCCGAATTGCACTCATAATTATTAGATGAATCAGGAAACCAATTTTTCATAACGGTTCCTATTAAAATAAAATTTATATAATAGAAAAATGTGTATATAATAATTACAACCAAATAATATAAAAATAGTTAAAGTAACTCAATAAAAATAAATTAGTCTTAAGCTAACTCCGAATTGGAGTATTTAAATTTATGTTTCATTTTCGAAAGTAAAACAAATAGTTCAAAATCTATCGAGTGATAGCCACAATTAAAGTATAATGTTATAATAATAAAGTGTGGATTTAAATAGATAATTGAAATTTGTAACATACTTTCAGAAACTTTTACAGCTGTGTTCTTTGAAACTTTCTTATTCTTGCGCAATTTCAGAGTTCTCACAATTCTCATTGTTTTCAGTTTTCTCAACTTCTTCGCTAATGTCCTCTTTTTGGTTTTTGATTTTTGGTCTTTAGTTGTTTTCAGTTTGAAGTTATGTTTTATATTGTTTGATTGGCGATTGCAACTGCCAGAAGATTCGGGGTAGCAGCTATCTAAGGTTTTTTCTACTATATGTATAAAAATAATGTATGTACATAAAAAATGATGTATGATAGTATTATTAGCATTAATCTAATTAGAAATAATCTTTTTAATTGAATACAATGCTCTTATTTTAATAAAGCAGGTATTTGTTTTATTGACACTGTTATTGAATTAATAAAATTATTTACAATTAGATCTCTAATGCTGTTAATACACGATCATTTTTTTCCATGTATAATGAAGTAATTATATCAATTAGTTTTGATATTGAAATTAAATGAAATTGTTATTAAATTAAATTAATATATTAAATTAAATCTTCTAATTCAATTTAATTACTCATATTTGATTTTAAAGCGAATAAAAGTCGAAAATCAATTAAGTTAAAGTTACATAATCGCAGGTGATATTATAATAAGAAAACATGAAAAGTAAAATTATCGTTCTTTGAATTATCGTTCAAGTTTATGATGTGAAAGTACGTACTTTTGGGAAGTTTCGCCTTTTTCTTCCTTAAAATATTTATAGCGCTATATGATTTTGCAGTTTTCCGACTTCTCTCGAACGACACCAAAGGTGTAAAACTACTCGAGCGCTTTATATAGAATCTCTCGCCTTTACTTTTCAACTTGCTCTTGTTTTTAGTTGTATACGTATAGAGTCCGTAGTCGCAATCCGTACAACCTGAACTGCAACCACAATTGTCGGAGGAATACGGACAGTAATCCTTCAAGAGTTCGTCTGTTAAAAACAAATTTTTGTAGACGAAGTACGAAATGTGAAATAATTCTCGACGAATTAATCTGGATTTTTCAAATCGGCTAAATTCACGTTTGATTCTCTAAAGCGAAGCGAACAATAAAAAAAATTTCTGTCTGGGATAATAGAACTGTAATTACAGATGGTATATGGAAAAAACACACGGTTTTCCAGGAGTATCTAAAAATTTAGCTAGATATACAAATTTAGAAATAATTGTCTTTGGATTATCAAAATAATTATGTGGAACGCATGATAAGCACAGAACAATGTTGCAAAAAATTTTGATACTCCAATAACCATCTTGAGTGTCCCACATAATCATTTTGATGGTTCAACAAAATTATTTTCACATCTGTAACCAGTTAAATTTTTAGATACTTAAAACTGTTCTTTGAAAAACTTTCTGTGTGTGTAAGTACTACGATTGAAAATTGAGGTTTCTAGGCCTTACAATGCAAATTTAAAACGTACTTTCGGATTTCGACTTTTGGGTTTTCTCTGATGAGGCTTTATTGATTTCAAGTGATTTCGTATTTTTTATATCTGGAAAAAACGTAAAGGAAGACTTCGGCGCGGAAAATCTTTTCACACGTTTTTTCTTCTCGGATTGTGTCCTGATCTCCCGATGTTCATAATCATAGTCTGTGCAATTAGAACTGCAACTGGCGAAAAAAAGGGACGAGTCGGATGTCGATATGGATAAACGAGGCCGGGAACTTCTAGACGTGGTCTCGGTTTCGTCTTGATGCTGCTGCAACCTTATCTTAGCGTTTGTCGATTCCATTTTTCTGTAGAAACATTCCTGGCGAGTTGCAGCAAACTGCACAGGATAATTTTCAGATAATTTCCAATCTTCTGTGTTACAGTTGCGAAAGGGTGAGCCTTAGAATTCTGCGGTAAAAAGGAAACTTACATGTTGATTACGTTCACGCACAAAGACGCACACGGAAAAAGCGAGTTTATCAAAGTATTTACAAATTTAGCTACAAGATGCAAGAGATTTGAAGATAACTTACAAGGGAACCTCTCGAGGTGATAAATTCTGATTTTAATGAAACTTTGTGAACTTGTAGTTTACATAAAGAAATGAATTTAGAAAATATCAGTTGCTGCCCAAAAACGGTTTGAAGGGGTGAAATCACCCTTTACGTGCACAGCGGTTTTCAGCTTTTTCCGTTATATCTTGAAAACTACTTGAGATATAAAAAAATGTTTTATACAAAAGTTTTACAACAAAATTAGCTGTATTCAATAGCGTTTTTAGAATAATTATTTAGCAATTTTTTTTCTAAATTTTCGAAAAAAAATTGTTAAATAATTATTCTAAAAAAACTATTGAATACAGCTAATTTTGTTGTAAAACTTTTGTATAAAACATTTTTTTATATCTCAAGTAGTTTTCAAGATATAACGGAAAAAGCTGAAAACCGCTGTACACGTAAAGGGTGATTTCACCCCTTCAAACCGTTTTTGGGCAGCAACTGATATTTTCTAAATTCATCTCTTTATGTAAACTACAAGTTCACAAAGTTTCATTAAAATCAGAATTTATCACCTCGAGAGGTTCCCTTGTTAGTTGGATTTTGTCAAAATAATTAGGTAGGAAATCTTAAGCATAGTAAATAATGCTGCAAAAAGTTTAACATTTTAGCAACCCCGGTCCTACATAATTATTTTGATAATTCAACAAAATTATGTTCAAATCTGCATCCAATTAAATTTACTTCACCAAAATCGTCCTTTCTCTACAGATTTGAAGTAACGACATAAGTCGAAATAAAATGGTTTTGGCTTCTCTGATTTCAAAATATTTTATAATGTTCTTGCTTTATTATGGAATAATATATATAATTTTTAAAAACAACCATCGAGAGAAGTCGAAGTCAAACTACGGATAAACTTTTATCTGCGATTACACAATCAGTCAAAATATTTTTGATAATATATATCCATTTCAGTAAAAAAAAACATGTGTTTATAAACTGAAAAAAACCTTTTAAAGAAAGAATGTCAGTAAATCAATGAAAGGAATCGATGAAAGGAATTTACTTTAAAATAAACAAGAAATAATATTTGTTAAAAGTCATTTTTATCTTGAAGTGACAAATGATCGAAATAACTTTCATTTCCATTTAATAATTATTTAATAATAATGTGTGTTTCTTAAGTTTTAAAGAAAAAAAAGAATGTTTTATTAAAAATAATACATTTTAATAAATAAATTACTTAAATCTTAAGCAATAATAAAGTATCGATCTAAAATGAGTTTAATACGAAGTAAAGACAAAGAAAACAAATGTGGTTTTCTTTGTCACGTAAACAAAATACACTCATACCTCGCGAAGAGTGAACTCTCTGATTTATCGATCCAATGTGTAGCACAATTTATTCGTAATATATCAAGTCTTTCGTTTCACGAATAGTGAAACTCTGTGACAAACAAATAAATGTTATCGCAACTGAATCAAGCGAAGCAGAATGATTTAGACAGACGTCAGCGAAGACAGCACACTAGCACGGACACTCGATCGCACAGTGATTCGAACATTCGATCCCTGTGTTTCTTATGGTACATATATTTGGCGTCCTCAGGTCCTCACCTTTCAACATGGTATATTTACAAAGGATATGTATCGTGTGTCGCGCGCACGTGACAGAAACTAATGACGTTTTCCTCTAAGCTTTTAAGTTTTCAAGCTTTCGACGATCTATGCGATTCGTGTCGGAATTTAGGATTTCGTTCTATTTATAATTTTATGTGCCATGTAATTCGTAAACCGATCGCAGAATCAGAATGCATTTATTGTGAGAGAAAAAAATTGGAATTATCATAATTTAATTATATAATTTGTAGTCATTTTTGGTGTCAATTATTTTTTTGTAGAATTATAAATATAATTATTGTTATTACTAATAATAGGGAATTGAAGTAACTATAAAAGTAACGAAATTCTTCATACTGTTAAATTTATAATGTCAAAGTGTTACAGAAATGTAATATCAATTTATTACTGAAAGACAGTAATTAATTATTTATTTGGAGTACTAAAAGTACTGAGTGAGTAACGGTGCTTTCAATACTTAATTATTAAAAAAATAAGTAATTAATTATTATTTTTCAAGATTGACAGTATTAGATTTCTGTAAAAATTATAGAGTTATTTTTAATTTCTATAGGTAATTTTTATAGAACGTCATTATTGCTACTCACAATCAATATGTCATAACTTAACTAAAACAACAAACAATTTAATTTAAGAAATGTACTGTTTACTATATTTATAATTCTATAAAAAAATAATTGACACCTAAAATGATTATAAATTATGTGTTAAATTATGGTAATTCCAATTTTTTCTCTCATAATCAGTGCATTCTGATTCTGCGATCGGTTTACGAATTACATGGCACATAAAATTATAAATAGAACGAAATCCTGAATTCCGACACGAAATTTAGTTTATCATTTACCAAGTGCATACGTCAATATGGGCGTTGTTTATTTTAAAACTAACCACAGAAATGGATTGATTTATATTATGACACATGGAAGTTAAAATATTATTTGTTATAACTCGAGGAATTGCATTATTATTGCTCCTTTGATATCTAACAGTATACCATAAAAACATAACAATGTTACAAACAGAAAAAAGTAACAGCGTTACACGTAACGCTTTATTTTCCAATTCTGCCTTTTTCTTGTTAGAATTATAGATAAAGATAAGAATAAGTTTAACAGAGATTAGAGTTAATCGACATTGGTAGAAATGGACAGACTAGAGCTTTATTGTTCGTGTCCAGAAAAGAGTAATATCATATTCAATGGATGTTTACATTCAACGAAAGACTCACGTAACGATTCTAGTTTGATAAATCGTTGCTCGTTGGCTAAGAGCCACACATTACATCGATAATATCATGATAGCGCCGCAAAATAGAAATAATATCGTGATCGCAAACGCGACGGGTATGTGTGCGCAATACGCGGAGTTATGCCATATTACGGATTATTATGCAACGCGCGCGTATTGACGCAATTCAGATCCGATCGCAAGCACGAACCGATCCATGGGAAATCTTGAATTACATGTTTTATATATCGGCCACCGCCGCCGCCGCCACCGTCGCCGTTGCTATTGAGGGAATTGAAAGGGCCGTCGTGACTGCGATTACGTTAATTTCTTCGCTTATGATAATAGCACAGGGCGGCCTTGTGCTCGTAAATTTTCGTTTCATAACCGAAGGAATTACATATTGACACGGTTGGCGAGTCCGGCCGCTGCGCCACGAAACGGCTAGATTTACATTTTGTTATGACGCCATATGTCTAAGGTGTCGGATAATCGAACACGAAGAATTGACTGTGATGAGTTTTTCAAGAAACTGGCTAAGGTTTTCTAAGACACGCGAAAACAAAGCTATTTTTTTTTTTAATGTACTGTTATTGTTGGACATGGTTGTGACAAAATTAATTATTATATATTAATCCGAAGAGGACGGACGACATAGAATATTATCTCACATCGACATGTTTAGACTAGAATTTTTGATATTGTTTTTAATTGTATTCATACCGTACTGAAGAAGACTCTATGAGTTGAAACGTTTACGAATATTTATGTGAATTATATTATTTATTTATTAATTAATTATTAATTAGATTGTAATCTCTTAACACTTAGGTTTGATCGTTTTGGTCGTTATTAAGAATTTTGATTGCTTTGCAAATTGTCGAGCGTTTTTACACTGTTTATTTTTTTTAACTATGCGACGAAGGGAGATTTCGAGTTTTATACGTTTTTATGTATCTTCGACAATGTGTGAAATAAAAACTGTTAAAAAATGATAATTTGTTCAAAAGATATAAAATGGGCGCTTTTAAAAGAACTTGCTCTTTTGGATGAGCTGAAATAAAAAATTTAAATTTTATTCATTAATGGTGTAGATAAGCAATGAATCTTATTGGATTTTACAGAAAAATTGAAAATTGACAAAATGCCATTGGTTTAAAATTATTATTGTGTATCTTCATTAAAAAAATCAGCTTTTATTACATCAAAAGATAAAGAGAAGTGCAACGGGTTCAATATAGTTTTTGAGATATCATGTTTTAAAAATCTGCAGATTTTGAAAACACTATTTGAGAAAAACTCATTTTAGACATTCATATTTTTTAGTAATTTTTATTTTACACATTGTTGAAGATATGTAGAATAAATGTACAAAATTTGAAATTAATCTGTCGCGTAATTTTTTCAAACAATTCAAAAAGATAGTCTTGCTTTTGCAAGTCGGAAAGAGGAAAAGTCGCTTAAATTTTTCTGCATGAAAAGAACAATTTTAAAGTATCTAAAAAATTTAATTAGATCTGAAAATAATTTTGTTGGACCGTTAAAATAATTATGTAAAAATCAAACTTGATGCAATTCTGTAAGAAGTTTTGATATTTTAGCAATTGAGCGTCCTATATAATTATTTTGATGGTCTAAAATTATTTTCGGACCTGTATTTATTCAAATTTTTAGATATTTTAGCAAAATCCTTCTTTCCGTGAACTCTTCAAAATTAATTCGAGAGAGAATTAATCTTAGAGAGAGAAACTAACTGATCTTAATTTTCAGAATCTAATTTTCTTTTGAGAGGAGAGATTAATTGATTTTGATTCTAATAATGAATACGTTGTTGAAGATTGATTTTATTTTCTAGGCATTTACTCTATGTTTTCGATTGTATGAAAATTTTTCCGATAACATTTTGTATATTGACGTTCCAAAAGCATAC